TACTCATGTGTACATCGTGTCTTTTGCGTGAATTATTATTGAGTCCATTCTGACTCCATAGCTGATCCCCTTCCAGCCAGAACCCAGTACATAGTAATACTGTTTTTATACTGTATTTTCTATTGCCATACCCTTAACCCATTCTAAAATCCAACCCTCCCAATCAGGGCCAGATTCAACCAATAAGCAGGGTAGGAGGCCACTTAGGGCCCCGGGAAATTTGGGGGCCCCAGATAAATACCTATAAGTGTAAATTATATCTATAAACTATATATTCATATTTCATATATAACATCGTTTTCTCCCATATTTAGTAAAGTCGAGGGTTTAATAAAATAAAGTGTATCAAAATTATTACGCCTGCGCAATTTGCCCCCCACCCCCCCAATAATGAAATCTACATTTAGGCAGAACAATTTTGGATTTTTGGGCTACATCTTTCTCCATTATCATTGGAGGACATGCCCCCCTACTGCACATTGGCTACATTTTTGTCCTCCAACGTCATCAGAGAACACGCCCCCTACTGCTGATTGGCTACAACTTTCTCCTCCCCATCATAGGACACGCCACTTCTGCTGATCGAATACATCTTTCTCCTCCCCATCATTAGAGGACATGTCCCCTACTGGCTACAACTTTCTACCCCATAATTATTATAGGAACGCCCCCAATTGTTGATTAGCTAAAATGTTCTCCTCTCCATCATAAGAGGACACGCCCCTATTGCTGATTGGCTACAACTTTCTCCTCCCCCATCATTAAACACCCCCCTACTGCAGATTTGACCACAATTTTCTCCCCCAAAATTAGGACACACCCCCTACTGCTGATTGAATACAACTTCCTCCTCCGTGACCATAAAAGGACACACCCCCTACTGCAGATTTGACCACAATTTTCTCCCCCAAAATTAGGACACACCCCCTACTGCTGATCGAATACAACTTCCTCCTCCGTGACCATTAGAGGACACACCCCCTACTGCAGATTGGCTACATTTTTGTCCTCCAACGTCATCAGAGAACACGCCCCCTATTGCTGATTGGCTACAACTTTCTCCTCCCCCATCATAGGACACGCCACTTCTGCTGATCGAATGCATCTTTCTCCTCCCCATCATTAGAGGACATGTCCCCTACTGCCGACTGGCTACAACTTTCTACCCCATAATTATTATAGGAACGCCCCCAATTGTTGATTAGCTAAAATGTTCTCCTCTCCATCATAAGAGAACACGCCCCCTATTGCTGATTGGCTACAACTTTCTCCTCCCCCATCATAGGACACGCCCCTTCTGCTGATCGAATGCATCTTTCTCCTCCCCATCATTAGAGGACATGTCCCCTACTGCCGACTGGCTACAACTTTCTACCCCATAATTATTATAGGAACGCCCCCAATTGTTGATTAGCTAAAATGTTCTCCTCTCCATCATAAGAGGACACGCCCCTATTGCTGATTGGCTACAACTTTCTCCTCCCCCATCATTAAACACCCCCCTACTGCAGATTTGACCGCAATTTTCTCCCCCAAAATTAAGACACACCCCCTACAGCTAATCGAATACAACTTCCTCCTCTGTGACCATTAAAGGACACACCCCCTACTGCAGATTTGACCACAATTTTCTCCCCCAAAATAAAGACACACCCCCTACTGCTGATCGAATACAACTTCCTCCTTCGTGACCATTAGAGGACACACCCCCTACTGCAGTTTTGACCACAATTTTCTCCCCCAAAATTAGGACACACCCCCTACAGCTAATCGAATAAAACTTCCTCCTCCGTGACCATTAGAGGACACACCCCCTACTGCAGATTTGACCACAATTTTCTCCCCCAAAATAAAGACACACCCCCTACTGCTGATCGAATACAACTTCCTCCTTCGTGACCATAAAAGGACACACCCCCTACTGCAGATTTGACCACAATTTTCTCCCCCAAAATTAGGACACACCCCCTACAGCTAATCGAATAAAACTTCCTCCTCCGTGACCATTAGAGGACACACCCCCTACTGCAGATTTGACCACAATTTTCTCCCCCAAAATTAGGACACACCCCCTACTGCTGATCGAATACAACTTCCTCCTCCGTGACCATTAGAGGACACACCCCCTACTGCAGATTGGCTGCAACTTTCTTCTTCCCTTTCTACCCCCCCCCCCCCCTCCATTTATATAGCAGACACTTTTATCTGTAACTTATAAGACAGGATTTTCCAAAAGTATGGAGTGTTGATAAGAAAGTGTCTGGTGCATACGGAGAGGAGAATTTGTCGAATACTATAAGCTTTACAATCACTATAAAACATTTCATAAAGAAGAACTTACGATTTACGAAGAGCTGCTCCTCGTGGGACAGGACGCTGGTCAGGTGTCCGCCCTGCAGACGACACTCTCTTTCTGCTGCCTCCCATGTCCGCCGGTGGGTGAAGTACTTATAGCAGTGGCTCTGAAACTTCTGCCAACCAAAGTCGCACACCTCCGTATCTGAAAGTTCAAATGAGAGACATCGAGATATAAGAAACTAACATTTGAATGAGAATAAAAGCCGACGTGTAGCTTCCCTAACACAAGCACTATCAGCCTGTGCACTCCTATTCAAACGGCATAAGCTGCTGTAATGTAAAATAAAGAAAAACACTTTTATTTTTAAAAACAGGCTCATTTAAAGCTCTCCTAGAGTTAAATAGTTAGGTTTTACCATGTTTGCGTACATTCAGTCGATTTTCGGGTCTGATAAGAACACTTATAGCTTAGCTTAGCATAAATCATTGAATCAGATTAGACCATTAGCATCTTGAAATTAGATCATTTTTCTATTTAAAGCTTGACCGTGGCTGTAGTAATAGCATAATGATATATAATGAAGCAGGTGGTCTCATTAGAGGTCACCTAGCTGGGGAGTATATTCAGCCGCTGTGTAATATCATTGCGCTGCTTCAGCCATGGTACAGCAGCAAAGTTCCCTTGGTTATGGCTGTTTCTCAATTCCAAGAACGCAGAGAACGGACTTGCGTTCTTGTGGAGAGCGGTCTTGCCAGGTGTCCTCGGAAGAACGAACTCAGGAGACCACAAGGACAGATAATGCGTCTTTTGAGAAATAGGATGCTGCGTTCCTCTTGATGGTCACATGACCTTCACACGTTTTAAATGGAAATTAATTAAACATTACAGCACTCATACAACGATTTATTGTTTCCCCCCTCTTCAAAATATATACTTTGCATAAAAACATTATAAATATACTCTGCACAATATAAATAAAACAAATTGTAATACGAAATTCATCAAACAAACACAATTAATGTGTTTATCCCTTTATTAAGATGTCCATGGTAATGTTTACTTTCACCGTTTCATTTAGGGAAACTCCTGATGTAAATAAGTGATATCTCTGAACTTGAATAATAAATCTAAATAAAATGCTGCGCTTCCCACCTCCAGCCGCAATGACTTCTGGGACTTCCAGAGCGAGTTCGGTGCTCAAGTCTGCATCGGTGCGTCCTCGATATCAAGATCACATCCGGGAAGTTTCACGCGTCCTCCGTACTTGCGGTCTTGAGTATTGGAACTGAACTTAGGCAGCTGATGATGACGTTTCACGAGAACACGAGGACGCAAGACCGCTGAAGAACGCATATTGAGAAACAGCCCTTGAGCCAGCAGCTAGCTTTCTGCAACTAGCAGTCAGTACCTGGATGGAGACCACATGGAAAAGCTAGGTTTCTGTTGGAAGTGGTGTTAGTGATGCCAGCAGGGGGTGCTCAATCTGCAGTCTGTGTGGATCCTAACGCCCCAGTATAGCGACAGGGACTGCTCAGTGAGCGCCGTCTTTTGGATGAGACGAGGTCCTGACTTTCTCATTAAAAATCCCAAGATGTCCTTCGAAAAAGAGTAGGGGTTTAACCCTGGCATCCTAGCCAAATTTGCCCACTGGTCTCTGTCCATCATGGCCTCCTAAAGGCTGATTTATACTTCTGCGTCAAGCGCACGCGTATGCTACGGCGCTGACGCATAGCCCTTCGCTGTGGCCATCGGCGTCGCTGACGTGCACCTCTCAAAAATGTAACTACACGTCGCAACGACGCATAGCGCAAGCTCTGTGATTGGTCGGCTTGGTAGCGCTGACGAGTCTGGGCGGGACCAAGAGCCGCGCGAATGGCGCGAGCCAAATGAAGCGATTGTTTACAAGTGCGGAGTCCCGAGAAGGAGCTCCGGATGGAAAGTTTTGTTTTGTGTTTACCTCATAGTTTAAAGTTGTTGCACGTCCGCCGGTTCCTGCCTCAAAATGAGTTTGAGCCACTTGTACATCCAGGAAGTGTTCAGGAAAAGCAAAACAGTAGCAAAGAAACTCGACATTTACAACTCACTGCCCACTAGCGTTTTGGAAGTGTTAATGCAGACCAACAGAGACAGCGGCAGAAGTATAAATGCACAGCTACGCGCAATGCATACGCCGTGGGTTACGCCGGTCACTTGATGCAGAAGTATAAATCAGGCTTAACCCTCCCCATATTCTAATTGGCATCACTCTGTCTCTTCTCCACCGATCAGCTGGTGTGCGGTCTTGCACAATGTGGCTGCTGTCGTGTCACTGCACACTGGTGGTGGATGAGGAGATTCCCCCCTATGTGTAAAGCGCTTTATAAATGTAAGGAATTATTATTATTATTATTATTATTATTATTATTAATATTATTGTTGTTATTATTATTACACTGAAATGCGAGTATAGTTCTGAAGCATATCAGCCTAAAAAAATAACAAATTTCCATAGTCCGTCATAGTACATGATGAAACTACAGAAGAGTCAAGCTTAAAATAGGAAAATTATCCAAACTCTGGTCAGTTTTTAATGAGATGCTAATGGTCTAATCTGATTCAATGATCTATGCTAAGCTAAGCTAATCTAAAAATGTTCCCCGCCATACTCAGAAAGGTAAAACTGTTTAACAGGGAGTTGTAAAATTAGACTGTTTTTAAAAAAGCAGTGTTCCTTTAATGGACGCACGCAGCGGCGCGGTAGGTAGCACTGTCGCCTCACAGCAAGAAGGTTGCGGGTTCAAGCCTTGGCTGGCTCAGTTGCCGTTTCTGTGTGGAGTTTGCATGTTCTCCCTGCCTTCGCGTGGGTTTCCTCTGGGTGCTCCGGTTTCCCCCACAGTCCAAAGACATGCTGTTACGACTGAAGTTTATTTATTTGTTTATTATTGCGGTTTGTACTCTTTTTCTTTTGTCCCGCCTCCTTGCTGTTTTTCTGTTGTCTTATAGGCTCCCACGCCGGCGTGATTCCCTGCTCTGATTGGCTGATGGTCTACGAGGCCTGTATAAAAGGGAGCTTCCGGCAGGGATCGGAGAGCTCATTTCTGCTGCGTTCGGTGTTTGGAGTGGAGTTCCTGGGTTTCCCTCACCCCTTCGGCCGACGACCAACAATAATCAATTTTGTATTGATGACCATCCTATGCTTGAATAGTTTATTGAGAGTTTGAGCGTGTAGGGGTGACCTGCCTATTTATTTGATTACTTTTGACTTTGTTTATATTAGGGAGTCAGGTAAGATTCTTGTATGTTTTTTTTTTAAATAGTAATAGGTAAGTTAGTGGATTTATTTTATAGATTCTTTTGTTTGTTATTTTGGCCTGTGGTCACCCTGACGAAATGCTCGTTTATATAAACCCTATTTTTCTATAATAAATATCTTCATATATACTCTCAATTGAGTGTGTGAGTTTGGTTGTCGACCGAAGGGAATCTTTTGCTTTAAGTTTTGTTTAGTTTGGGAAATCCACCACCCCAACACATTTGTTTGTTCTTCGTTTATTATGCCCTTTTTGTTTCCCCTAGACTTGGGGCGTAAGACATGCGGTACAGGTGAACTGGGAAGGCTAAATTGTCCGTAGTGTATGAGTGTGAATAAGTGTGTGTGGATGTTTCCCAGAGATGGGTTGCAGTTGTAAGGGCATCCGCTGCTTAAAACGCTTGCTGGATAAGTTGGCGGTTCATTCCGCTGTGGCGACCCCAGATTAATAGAGGGACTAAGCCGACAAGAAAATGAATGAATGAATGTTCCTTTAATGAGAGTCACGGTGGCGCAGTGGCTAGCATGATCACCTCACAAAAAGAAGGTCGCTGGTTCGAGCCTTGGCTGGGTCACTTGACATTTCTGTGTGGAGTTTGTATGTTCTCCCTGTGTTCGCATGGGTTTCCTCCGGGTGCTCCGGTTTCCCCCACACGTCCAAAGACATGCGCTATAGGGGAATTGGGATATTCCAAATTGTCCGTAGTGTATGAGTGTGAATGAGTGTGTATGGGTGTTTCCCAGAGATGGATTGCAGCTGGAAGGGCATCTGCTGTGTAAAACATATGCTGGATAAGTTGGCGGTTCATTCCCCTGTGGCGACCCCTGATTAATAAAGTGACTAAGCCGAAAAGAAAATGAATGAATGAATGTTCTTTTAATTATAAAATTACAAGACATGTCACGTATGCCCTCGTCTTCAAGGTTGGGGGTTGATTGTTGGGCTAACGACCCCCACCTCATTAAAAACTAGATGTCATGAAACACCAATACGGTGCGGCTACATAACAACTTCAATATTAAATAGCCCTGGGAGTAAGTAAGACACATCACAGTAACATTTTGTATTGCGTTAAACATGAACAAGCTCATCTTTCATGTCGTGTATAAACACACAGAACCGAGTCTGTTTAGAGCTCTGCCATTAACCGAGTCGAGCGAAGCACTTTTTATTCTACGCCATACAATGAAGACCATCAACATTTAGCTTGGACTGGAACCCCCAGTGACCGCAGCGCTCAGTGTGAGCGCTCAATGCAAACAATGACATCTAATGAGGCTGGAAAGAAGAAAACAGCAGTAAACGAAGCCAAGTAAATCATCCCAGACACACACGGCCCATAGTGCTGCTTTCTTTAACTGATTACGCTCCATTACAAACTCATGCTGTCCTCTGCACTGAATGTCCAGCTGATTAGCAAAACTGCTATCGCAGCATAATGCATGTGGACGAACCACTGACGATCTACTGTAGTAATATCTACATCTACTCGACAATAAAAACAGTCCATTACTGAATAACTCAATTGTTTTAAATTGCATGACCTTGAAACATGTTCAAAGCAGAATATCTGACTTCAGCACTGTGTTTCAGATAAACAAGGACGTTCACTGAGCATGTTTCTGAAATATCTGCACACATATTATGGTATTTTAATGCTTTAGAAGAGTCAAAAACTGACATACAGCATCTTTAAACACGGCAAAGTAAAAATAGCAGTTTTTGTTTTATTTTTCCCCACTAAGCACACTGAAAAAAGTGTTGCATGCAGAACTGTTGCAAACAATTTATTTGTGTTGAATTTAAACAAATAAATTAAATTGAATAATGTTCAACTTAATTTGTTTGTTTAAATTTAACACAAATAAATAGTTTACAACCGCTTAACGTAAAAAAATTGAGTAAATCCAA